AACGGCTAAACAGATTTGTATGAAATTAAATGCGCATAGTTTTCGACCTAGATAAAAACATATAATTAAAGATATTAAATAGCCTAGATACACCATGAGCGCTCAAAATGTGTCCCAATCAAGAAGTGCTTGAGCTCCTCTCAAGTACTTCTTGGTTCACAGTCACGCGCGAACCGCTGAAAAGTCAAGATGCCGCAAAGCTAAAATAAATTAATAACTTAAATATATAAATCGAACTATTTGTGCTATTTGTGAACTTATGTGAACTATTTGTGCACTTTCTAAAATCGTCGAAGGCATTATTTTATCTTTTAAAACAAGTAAAAAATATCTGCAATATTATTTGACAAATTGCGACTACAGCGAATGGTGCGCATGCAGCTAATTTAAAAGGCTCATTTTTGAGACGCGTATCCGTGTGGTCGGGGTCTCTTTTTGATATCTTCCCATTTTGACTTAATTTAAGATGAATTGTTATAATTTTCTGTACATAAGTACAGAAAATTTTTGTACATAAGTACAGAAAATTATGTTATATTTTTGTATAAACAAAAATATAATGTATTTAAATATAAATAGTACATCTTCGTAAAAATGGGTTTTACTAAATTTCTTTATTGTCATAAGTACCAGAAAATAATAATTAAGGGGCCTTTATCTTCGGGTCGGTGCGAGTTTGTTTTGTTTTCGATTCTGTACCGAATCTGAACAGATTCTTTCCGAGTGCATATAATTAAGTGAGAACTTTCCCACTAAGTGGTTCCCGTACAGATCTTTACCGAGCGGATACTTAGCTCGCTGTGCCGAGTGCTTCCGAATGCTACCGATTCATTCGACTCGCCTATGCTGTCACTCCTGCAAACAAAACGAAATGAATCCGTACTGACCCGATGAGTAAGGCGCTTTAAGTTTTAAAAATTATTTTATGATACTGGTGTCGATTCTGGCGTGATTCTCTAAACTTAAAACTAAATTTAACATCAGTCTCTCCTTTTCATTCTGTATAGAGAATGACAGGGATGCACTTTTGTCAAATTTAACTTTAGCTTTAGAGAATAATGCCAGAATCGACATCAATATCATCATATTATTGTCTATCTATATATTTGTCACGTGTTTTTTTGTGTTGCTTATATATTTGTAGTTACTGGTCGCCTCATGTAATTAGAACGCACGAAGTACTAGGCCTCTATACTAAATTGTTTATCGATAGGAAATATCGACATTTTCTAAAATCGATCTTACCCCCCTCACTTCGCTGCACTGAGTATATGATCTGACCTTGACGTGTCCAATCACAACGGGGCTGACCTCCCTGCACGCCGCCGACTTTGGCGATTTTGATTCCAAACAAAATTTGTGTGATGCGGTCTCTAGTGGGGGTGCTCCGTGTCTCAATGGCACCTCAGCGGTAATCACCGACATTACACACTTTTACACTATAAAGTACTATTTTATCTATTATAATTTTATTCTGATTCAATTAAATATGCTTTGCTAACCTTTTTATAAGCATAGGTACCTACTGTATATAAAACAGAAACAAAATACGACTGTATAGTGTGTCTTATTAATTACCTATTGTACTTGAATGAACTGCTAGTATCAAAATCATTTTGATCCGACTGTATAGGGTTGCTACATGCATACTAGTGGCGCCATCATTTAATGTCACGACTTTATAGACAAACTGTCGCTGGGTGCTAAAAAAGTATTCTGAGATTTTTTTGCAAACTGTACTTTTCAAGCGACATTTGACAGATGGAGGTCATTGGCTTTCCTATTATTATTTGAATCGCATTATAATGATGAATATCGCATTTCTAATGTCTTGATTTCTCAGCAAATTATACAAAAAGTGTTCTATTCCAGCGCCCCACGCTTTTATAATTATTAATATAATAATTAAGAGCACATAGTTTACACTTAAGCCCAGAAATTGCGTTAACTTCAACTATCCATAATTTATTTTTGGTTTTTACGTGCATTTATAAAAGTGTGTTTTTCTAGTTTTTTTAAACTACCTATTAATATTGGTAAATCTTCACTAATGTATAAAATCCTTTTTTATCAATATTGTAAACAGAAAATCTACCTATAATATATTTTATGTATTCCTCCTTTTCCCCTAATAGTCCAGGCAACGAAAAGGTATAGAGGGAATTGCTTAGAACACAATTTTTGACTTCGTGACTTTGTTAGGACTAGTTAGGAGGTAAACATATCAAAAGTCCCCGCCCGTAGCCCTTAAGCCGGGGGGAGGGGGGGGGGGGGGCTTGAAGTCCCATTTTTAGGTTTTTCGCATATATCTCGAAAACTATGCATCCTAGCGACATAAGATTTTCACAAAAGTGAAAGCTGATTAAATTTGCTACAAGTCTTATTCAGTCAAATTTTTTGATATCTTGTATAGTTTTCGAGATATCCGCTCTTGAAAGTCTGTAATTATGGAAAAAAAATTTGTTCCCATTTTTGCTCTATTTGACCGGATAACTCTTCAACAATGCAACCAAAAAATAAATGCCGGCCGTAGGGTTGTAGAGCATTAAATTATCTTCAATAATAGAAACAATTGCCTTTTTTTTTTATTTAAGGACAAAATTGTTAGTGTAGTAGACGTATGGGGGCGGTACGGTGGGCACTAGGCCGCGTACTCAGCCCCCACGCGCGGGCCGTCCTGCGCACGTCTGTGGGGTCCTCGCGATACCCCGGGAGACCCCTGCCGCGGAACCTCGGCAAGGCCGGGAGGCTGCTAGGTGCGGAGACGCGGAAGAATCCCTAAACGGGGATTCCGCGGCTTCGCACTAAGCAGCTTAGAGGGTGTTCGCAGGGTTTTTTAGCGGATATTATGCCGTATAGCGCCCGTAAGGGTTACGGGGTCCTCAGTGGGCAGCCACGCCAGTGAGCCAGGTGTGAGGTCCGTTCGGCGGTGTGCCTCTTAAAGGCGCCGTCGTCTGTAAATAGTATTTTTTGCCTGCGTATAAAAAAAAAGGGTAGTAGATGTATTGAGTACGCGGCCTAGTGCCCACCGTACCGCCCCCATACGTCTACTACACTAATAATTTTGTCCTTAAATAAAAAAAAAGGCAATTGTTTCTATTATTGAAGATAATTTAATGCTCTACAATCCTACGGCCGGCATTTATTTTTTGGGTGCATTGTTGAAGAGTTATCCGGTCAAATAGAGCAAAAATGGGAACAAATTTTTTTTCCATAATTACAGACTTTCAAGAGCGGATATCTCGAAAACTATACAAGATATCAAAAAATTTGACTGAATAAGACTTGTAGCAAATTTAATCAGCTTTCACTTTTGTGAAAGTCTCATGTCGCTAGGATGCATAGTTTTCGAGATATATGCGAAAAACCTAAAAATGGGACCTTCAAGCCCCCCCCCTCCCCCCGGCTTAAGGGCTACGGGCGGGGACTTTTGATATGTTTACCTCCTAACTAGTCCTAACAAAGTCACGAAGTCAAAAATTGTGTTCTAAGCAATTCCCTCTATACCTGTTTTTGAGCATTCGTTGCCTGGACTATAAAAGTGATATATTTAATACAAATAGGAATAATTAACTTTTATATACTTTAGATTAGGATTATAGGCATAATTAAGGCGTAAAGTTATAAATAGATTTCTATCAGTTTACTATATTAGTATCATAATAAAGGTTTTTTCCCGATGTGTTTTCACTTGCCCTATAGGCTTAAATACAATAATTAAGTATAAAATAGGTTTAAGTAGGCATTTAGCAACTTTTTAGTTTTAAGACTGTAGGGCTCATTAAGCACTGTATAGGCAAAATCTCATTAGAATCTTATGAGACTAAGTTAATAAGACCTGGAATAATATAGATAGAATAGTTCCAAACCAATAATTATCGAAATAGGCCGAAAAATGTATAAGTCTTATTGTATGAAGCGCGCTGTGAGCGGGCCGCACGGCATGCGCGGGGGCGCGTGGAAGGGACACGGTAGCGTCTAGTGTATATATTCTGTGGTAGCGTGACGCGGGCGGGAGCACATGGTGGGGCATGATATAAATATCCGAGCACACTGTTTTTTGCCCGCCACTGCTAAATGATTGTGTTTTCGACCGCGCAAACACGTTAAAATGATGAATTTTTTGTATGCCCCATGCATGTACCTATAATTTCAAGCTCGCAATAACATATGTAATAAATAAATGGAAAATAAAGTATAGCGACGGTGAGGTAATGGATCGCTGGCCAGCTCATCGCGCGCATATAAAACCCGAACCGAAATCGAACCCGGCACGTCATTCAGCGACCGGCGCTCCTACTAAAAGAAGAAGAAATAACCAGCGATTCTCTCGGGAACTTGAAGACTCCTCTCCGGCCATCCATTACCAGCGCCCACCGACTTTCCTCGACAACGGATCTTGGGAGTTTTATTTCGCAAGCTACAATACACTACCTACCATCGTCAAGACTCCTACGTTCGAACCTCAACCAAACAAGTGCGAGTCGGTAACTCCCGCTACTGCAACAGCCCGGCGGCGTACCGCACATGTTAGTAAATCCTTTGACATGATAATGTTAGTTGTTGGAAAGCACGTAAAAGTCAGAGGAAATTTTTCTTAAGATAATTTTAATTTCATGGTCTTCCTTTCATTTAAAATCTTATGTTATTTAGGAAAAAATAATCCTTATGATTAACCCTTTTGACGGTTATCATAAAATAAGTCTTAAGTTTTTTTTCTCACAACGCAGTTCTACAAGTATTATTAAAAATAATATGATTCCTTTTTCAGTTAATAATCCTATCTTTAATATTTAATATACCTTCCCTCCGTGTGGCATGGCCGTGGGACGCCCTGTATAGATATTCTATTGACAGCGTCAAAAATGATGACTACCTACAGCGCCTTATTTCGAATATTTCGACATGTGTAGATAAATGTTTTTATTTCTCTTCGGTAAAGGTGTTTTCGTAGATAGGAGGTTTTGGTTCTTAATCATCTATATAAAAAAGAACTATGCCAAATCATTGAACAATAATTTATTAAACAGAAAATGAAGCATTGATCACTGTCAATGTAGTAGAAATTAATGGCTCGTGTACTTAAATAATCCTTGATAAGGTATAAAAATTAATGAAACGTGTACTTATATATGCCTTATTAAGGTGAAATAAAAATCCGTTAATAATTTATACCCATTGGAACATTGGGCAAGTTTTCTTTCATATTAGGCAAATCACAAATTACAGCTTCAGCAGTTGTCAATAATGATGCTACTCCACTAGCATCGGTCAAAGCTCTCTTTACAACTTTCGTTGGATCAATGATACCCTTTTCTATCATATTTACATATTCATTATTTATGGCATCATATCCAAAGTTACCTTCCATATCTTCTACTTTAGAAACTACCACTGACCCATCAAAACCGGCATTATTAGCAATAGTAAGACAAGGTGTGCGTAAAGCTTGTTTCACAATAGTTATTCCAGTCACCTGATCAGGGTTGGTGACCTTTAAATTGTCTAATACAGGAATGCAACGAAGAAGTGCAGCTCCACCACCTGGCACAATGCCTTCTTCTACTGCAGCTTTTGTGGCATTTAAAGCATCATTTACTCTATCCTTTTTTTCATTTACTTCAACCTCGCTACATCCTCCGATTTGTAAAACAGCTACTCCAGATTGTAAACGTGCCATTCTTTCTAAGAGACGTAATTTATCATAATCACCAGAAGTTGCTTGTAACTCTTCTTTAATATCTTCTATGCGCTGTTTAATGTCATCTTTATTACCATGACCTTTAAGCAAGAGAGTCGAGTCTTTAGTGACTACCACTTCGTCGACTCTTCCGAGGCTTTCTAGCCTACAATCCTCAAGTCTAATTAAGTTTGGATCATCTTCAAAAACTACTCCCCCTGTAGCTATAGCCATATCCATTAAAGTATTCTTCCTAAAATCACCAAAACCAGGTGCTTTTACTGCAACTACAGGAAGGCCAATTTTTAATTTATTAACAATGAGAACTGACAGTGGTTCACCGTCGTAATCTTCGGCAATAATAACCAAAGGTTTCTTCTGAGAATTAGCAATTTCTAAAGCAGGTATTAATTGTTGTGCAGTAAATATTTTCTTTTGAGAAAATAAAACTAATGCGTCATTGTACTCTACCTTTGGACCTTTCGTGGAATTAATAAAGTATGGCGACACATACCCACGATCAAATTTCATGCCTTCGATAACCTCCATCTCATCAAACAAAGTTTTGCCCTCTTTGACAGTAATTACGCCATCTTTACCAACTCTCTTCATTGCATTTGCAATTAGTTTACCAATAGACTCATCTCCATTTGCGGATATAGTTGCAACTTGTTCTATTTCTTCTGATGTACTCACAGGCTTTGATATTTCTTTCAATTTTTCCTTAACAACTTCTACTGCTAACATTACGCCTTTTCTTATTTCTATAGGATTCGCTCCCTTAGAAATTCTTTCAAATCCTTCTTTAGCAATGGCCCGTGCTAATACTGTAGCGGTAGTAGTTCCATCTCCAGCTTCTTCGTTTGTTTTATTAGCAACGTTTTGAACTAATTTGGCGCCAATATTTTGGAACTTATCTTTTAATTCTATACCTTTAGCAACTGTCACGCCGTCTTTGGTAATTTTTGGAGCTCCAAAAGATTGTTCTAATATTACTGTCCGTCCTTTTGGACCCATGGTAACCGCCACTGCATCAGCTAAAATGTCAACACCTTGTAACATAAGTGATCTGACATCAGGCCCAAATCTTACTTCCTTTGCAAATGCCCGCTTTGGAATGATTAAGTTAATATTATAAAAAACTGTTTTAAGTATGATCCTGTTCATTTTGTCATAAAACTGCTAATTGCGTTATTTTTAAACATGCGCTGAGGGTACAGATTTCCAAAAAAGATAATTATGACAAGAATAGACGTGAGAATATTTCAATTTCGAATGTTCAAAGAGTATTAAAATGGTCATCGACACAATATCCTTCTTAAAATGCTAATGTATCTGTAATTAAACCTGTTTAGTATCCGTGTGTCTATGTTTAATGGCCTGAGCAGACGATGGACTTTGACGGCGGAGGACAAAAGTCCCTGAATCGTAAAGAAAATGTCCGCGGGATGGATTTGTCGCGGTCTCAATGAACACGATGTGCGAATATTTGTCGCAAAGCGCACGTTATGGAAGTAAATATTCTCAGATTACGTAATGTTATATTGAACAAGAAGAGAAGAAGTTTTAAACGAGAATACTGAGTCCATTTCTTTAATAGCCTACGCAGACGAAGGACAATTGTAAAAAGACTTTCCTGTACGTTTAAATCTTTGAGTATAATAGAAACGGGAGTAGCCCTAAGCACTTTATTCCATACAAAAGTTTCTGTCAATTCTGACGGGGGACAAAGTACACACGTACGCAGTCGTAAAAGAATCAACACACACCTTAAGATAATGAGGATCAAATACAGTATTAACAGAGACGAGGGATGGTAATGTGGAAATTTTTAGCAGTAGAGTAGACAGATTATAGCTAAGAAGAGGAGGGGAAGATTTTTCGAGATATGTTCTTTCTGTTATGGTGGCAACTATTGCATAGTGATCACTTCCGTATGTCAGATCTGTGCAGTGCCATTGGGCAGCTGAGGCTAGACTCACTGAGCAAAAGGTAAGGTCCACACAGCTTTTACTTTAGCCGGGAAGAGATCTCCTAGTAGCGTTCCCATCATTTAGTAAGCACATATTAAGATCATCAAAATCCCCACCGGAAGTGGTGAAAATTGAAGTCTCCCATTACTATCAGTGGCCCACATAAAACACAAAGAATATCTTTTAATATTTGGAGATAATTAAGGTGAGGATGCGATATATAGATTGAGAGGACTGTAATGCCCTCTATTTTTGCTGCAACAATATTTAATTGTAATGTGTCAATGGCCATGGTTAGGGGTTTCAGTGGTACCTTGTTGTTAATTAGGAGAGCACTTCCCCCTCCCACTCTGTTGGGTCTATCATTTCTTAATATATTATAATAGTTCATACAACAGCTGAGATTTGGAGAAAGCGAAGTCTCAGCTATAGAGAATGCTATAGATTTGAATTTGTTAATAAGGTATTGATGTCGATTCTGGCATAATTCTCTAAAGCTAAACTTAAATTTGACAACAGTGCATCCCTGTCATTGTCTATACAGAATGAAAAGGAGAGACTGATGTTAAATTTAGTTTTAAGTTTAGAGAATCACGCCAGAATTGACACCATTGTAGGTCTTGTTTTTTAAACTAGATACTGGTGTCGATTCTGGCATGATTCTCTAAACTTAAAACTAAATTTAACATGTGTCTCTCTTTTATTCTGTATAGAGCATGGCAAGGATACTGACTGACTGTCAAAGTTTGGTTGGCAAAGTCAAAAGAGTTGGAATTATTTCCAGAGATAATGATATCGATTCTGGCATGATTCTCTAAAGCTAAACTTAAATTTGACAACAGTGCATCCTTGTCATTCTCTATACAGAATGAAAAGGAGAGACTGATGTTAAATTTAGTTATAAGTTTAGAGAATCACGCTAGAATCGGCACCAATAGCGGTTAAAATATTTAAAAGGAGAGAAATTATGGATGCACTATCTGTATGTTCAGAAGTGGAGTTTTGGGAGCACAATGCATAAACATTTGGCTGGGAAGATTGTGGAATCAAAGTAATGGACCCTTCATCAGGGTTTTATCATACGATGAGGAAAGTGGTCTATGTGTTTTCGGTCTTAACAGGACCGTTTTCCAATATGAGTTGATTTTGCCTTTGGTGATGTTTGCATATGAGGTAGTTTGTGGGATAGGGCCTGTTTTACTTGCTTCAGCATGTGATATGACTTGTTTAGCCATAACTTTCTTAATTGCCTTCTGCCTACCATGCTCGGGGCAGTCACGACTAACTGCGTAATGACTCCACGAACACAATATACAAAAGTCTTCTTCTTCTGGTAAGTCGCAACCATCTCCAGGGTGTTCACTGCCGCATTTACTACAACGAGGTTTAGACCTACACACTGTAGCTATATGGCCAATCAGACCCATCTTTCCCATTGGGCCCCCCTTCAGATCAAATACAAAGTCCCTAGTTCCTGCTAAATCACCAAACGGAAGTCATAGGGGCCCCTTTATCCTAATATGCCAGGGCTTCCAATAGGTCAAAGACGGCACGGTTTCTGCAACAATTCCGGCACTGTATGAGGGCTGCGCATAAACAATATATCTTCTCTGGAAGAGTCTGTCCGTCAAAGGCCGAGTACGCATGTTTCCGTGGGTCTCCATTCTGGAGCTGTGTCTTTTACAGTTTTTCAATTGATGCGCCACACCTTTAGAATTGGGCCGCACCCTCTGGGAACTACTGTGTACTTCTTAACTTCCTCCTCAGGCATTTCTGCAGGGACTCCTAAGACTACACCCATACGGGTTACATTATAGGACGGAATGTTAGCCTGAAAACCATGGGAAGTTAAAATTGTATTGGACAGCAACGCATTAGCGTCCTGGGGAGTCCTAAATTGCACATTCCTACCTACTTTCTTAATTACATCTCGCATTATATTATTGATATCATTTTATGGAAGAATAGACCGAGGTTGGAGAGTGTAGGTTGGTTCCGGAGTTGGGTTGAGGTTCTATCCGCGACACATGCACGATAAAAGGACCCTTGTCCATTGCCAAATACCTATTACGGGCCACCTGGCTCCTGGCTTGCTTCGGGGGTCGATCGGTCGGAGGCGAATTGTCATCAACATGACGCTTACGTGAGTTATTATAAGATATTTCTGCAAATTGGCTAAGCGGCTTTTCAGTGCTCAGATCGGAAGAGTTGTTGTAAATGATGGGAAGCGTCCATTTTATCCGGAGGGTCCGGAGGCTTGCTTTTATCTATTGTAAATCGTTAGAAAACACACACAAGACAATACAAACCTGTTTAACACGTACTACAACATACGCAGAAGTACAAATAAAACACAGTGGTAACAATGAATCGACGGAATAACACAAAAAGGGTTTAAATTCTATACAGACGTGATGACCAAAACACTCTGTGACAGAATCGAATTGGGTATGGACTTTATATCCTTTGCTTTTCAAGTACGGGAGAATATCACCAAAAAATAACATCTGTCAACGTCAAAATATTGGCGCCAAATTGTGCCGCTCATTTCAGCTGTTTTGTTTTTTATATTCGGATGGTTTTACTTTAATTTTATTTATTAAGTTATAAAGTAGTTTTACGTGTTGAAAAAAGAATTAACAGATGCATAATCTGAGTCACTAAGTTTCTCTTAGACGGTATTTTGCAAGTCGGGTGCCGAGAGCATCTACAAAAATGACTGAAATTTTACCTTTTAAAGAATCTGAAACACAATCTCTAACAGAACAGAATAATGTACTAATGAGCCCGAGAAATTCAGCTGAACGCGTTCATAACGAAAGTGATGATAATTGTAATGACCATAACAATTCTTTTAAAGACGGACTACGAAATCATAATAATAGATTATCTGATAGTGAAAGCGATTTAGAAATAACAAATACTGACAGAATCAGGGCATTTCAACCCACATCAAATGCAAGCAGTGATAGTGATGACTATTCAAACATAATAAGAAAACGATCATCAAATTTACATAAAAAAATACTAAATAGTGATGTGTCTGAATCAGATTTGGAACAAAGTCAAGAAAAAGAAAATCTGTTAAATATTGATAAAGGAAGTCTTCAAAAAAGAACTGTGAAGAAAAGAAACAAGTTGAGAGAAAAAATTCAAAATCTACTTAACTCTAAGGAAACTATAAATGCATCTAAAACAGATCAAAATGAACTTTTCCACCAAAATCAAACAAGTTCAAGTGATGATGAAATGGCATCTATCAATATAATAAAACAGGTAATTTATCAAATATTGCAAGTACCTAGTAATTAATAGTATAATACATTTTTTTTATTTTAAATGTGGTTTTATCATGCAGCTGCATCCATAAAGTATGTCACAGATAAAGGAGAAGGGAGGGGGTCGACTCAGTGTGACATTAAATGAATTCCGAGATATACACCTGGCCAGGGGTAATGACGGCATGAATCGATGCCATGCTGTTGATTCGTTCCAAATACACTAATCAGTGCAGTGAAGTCATTAACTAGCGCTATATTCAAGCAGTCTCCTGTATGTGAGCAACATTCATTCTCTAAATAATAATAAATTTTAACCTTCAATTTAATACAAAAATGAACTTCACTAACTGCAGAGCGTATACACCCTGCTATGTCACAGTATTCTCGTCAGCATAATATGGCGGCACACCGGTGAAATATGGTGTCGAAATCATGTCATCATTACCGCTGGCCAGTGTACTGGTGTATTTTTCGGAATACACCCATTGTGTTACATTTCAAAATGTAATCTACTCTTAACTATTATCAAATAACTTTAAACTGTTCTTTCTGTCTATGTATGGGTTTTAATTTGTTTTGTTACAAATTTTCAGTTCTTATTTCAAAACTGCTGTTTTAATCAACTCATTTCTAGATGGAAAAAAGGACATGACATACTTTATGGATGATCCCTACTAAAATGAAAATAGTTATCGTAATAATATGCAACCTTGCCTATAAGCTTTGTCAAATATCTTTTAGTATAACTTAGTCAGCAAAACATTCACCTCTTCAATGCTGGTTTCATTTTAGCATGAACCAGGGGGGCTTTTTTATTGGGGCCTAAACCTAACTTTTTCACTTTGAACTACATATTTGTTTAACTTTTTCTCCTTCTCCTAATTTTTTTTCCTCCAACAAAAAACATTTCCATTCTTCAGACACCTTTGTCTATTTGGAATTTGATTTGAATATTTTATTTAATGTTTCCTGGGTTGTTACAGAAAATAAAGGAGCGATCAAATACTTTGAAGATGTCTATATGTGACCCTGACAGTTCTGAAGATGAGAGCAATCATTTAAAACATGTTCAAGAGCCAAGGAAAAAGCAAAAGCGTTCAATACTTACATCACCAAAACCACAGAGGGTATAATTTACATGCATGCAATGGACCTGAAATTTATAGTATAGGATTCAATAAAATTAAATTAAAGTACTTATAAATATAATCAAATTATGTAAATTTCAAGTAATTTGAGATAACTTTTCAGATATCTGCAAAGCAAGCAATGGAAAACATGCATAAGATCAAAAGTGAATCTAACCGCATGCTTAGAGAAAAAGAAGTTTCTTTACCTTATCACAGACCAAAGGCACTAAGTTTGAAAGACATCATGAGCAGAAGGAAACCTGCTGTGTCATCTGATGGTAAAATTCTCCCGATCAAAATGAATGAAGAACAGTTAAAGCAGTTTGCGTAAGTATTTTTTTTCTATACTTTGAGAAATTTTGATTGAAAGGATCATTAAATGAAATGCGCTTAAACGGGTTCAAAATGCATCTTTTAATTACTTTTTATGTTTAACTTAAGAAACAAATATAAAAAGGTCATGTCTGCCCCGTACTCCTATTGACTCTTAAAATAGATAAACATAACAAAAAATAATGAAACTCAACTAAACTAAACTGTTGGCAGACAGACATGATGAAACTATTACAGTTCCTTGGTCACTATGGAACCCTAACTTTTAACTTTTAACTACTACTATAATCATTAATATTATTGAATTAAAATATAATTATTAATACCTTATAAAATACAATTTTTAACAAAATCTTTGTAGGTTACAATTAGAACAAAGACAAAAAGAAATGATAGAGTTATGTAAGAGTGATACAGAAGATGAAGAAGATAATGAGGCTTCAGAGCAAATACAGTGTATGAGCGATTCTAATACTGCATCAGATCAAATACTAACTAAAATAGATGATACAGTATGTGAACCTGAACCTTTAGCTAAATGTAATGTTTCTATGAAAATGTTAAACAGCGATGTAGATTCCAATATAAGCAATGACACAACAAAAGTTGATAATGGTAGTAGGCATGTAGAAAAGTCAAATGAGGTCAGTAACATTTCTAACAATAATTTCGAGGTGTCTGAAGATGTCCATGATAAATCGAAAGATGTATCTACAGAAATAGAACTTGTATATAATGATTCTCTTGAAAAACCTAATGAGGTAGCAGATGATTTAACATCCGAAAAAAAAAATTGTGAATTTAACGCACCTGTCACTACTTTGACTAAGCAAAATAAAAGTGATGAAGCAAATAGTTGTGATTCAAACAACCAAACTACTACGAATATTTTAGATATGAGTGAAAGTAAAGAAACTAATCAAGCAAGTGCTGAAAATTTGACTGAAAAAGATAGCCAAGGAAGTGCTGAAAATTTGCCAGAAAAAGATAGCCAATTAATATCATTGCTATATGATACAGAGGAAAATGATTCCAAAACACTGGCTGATTTTAATAATATTAGTAATGAAATCCCCAAAGAAGAAGTAACAGATACAGACGGAAAGCGAGTTGATGACGACCAATTTCCAGATGATGATTTGGATGGTGTGAATATAGATGATATTGACAATATTATTGAAAATGAAGAAATGATAAGAAGTAAGTAACATTTAAATCAATCAATCATCAGTTATGTAAAATATAATATCACTATTCTTGAGGCTTTTAATTAACTATTTTTTTATAAACATTGGACAAATTATATAATTTTGCCAGGTGGCTAATTTTGCTTAAGTCTTAATATGATCCCCTTCAATGTTAAAGATGTCTTTTTCTGAGATTTAAAGGTTAATAATTATTGTAAGATTATTCAATTATACAAATGTTTATTTTCTATCTATAACAGAATGATACTTTTTAGTATGTTTCTTATTTTTTTTAAAACAAGTTAAAATTGTGACGACGTTATTGGAGTGACTTTATTTTGATACATATAAAACACACTATGTATCTTTATAATATTGCAGATGATGTACCTAATAAAAAATACAACTCCCCAGCACTTGTTAAACAAGACACAAATTCTTTGAAATTGAAACCTAAGTTAATGGGAGCTCCTGGAATGTTAATAGATTTAGATGGTAGTGATGCCACCGTGCCGAAAAAGTTGACTGGTGTCGAGTTGTTGAAAGAGAGATTTTGTTTTTTTGCCAAATTGAAAACCCCAGAAGAACTTGAAAGAGAAAGAGAGAGAAGGTAATTTTGATACTTAAATTGATTGACTCTTGTGTGACTTATATGTATTATGTTAAGTAATAAATTCTACCATATTTTTTATTATCATTGGTATGTATTAACATGGCTTAAGACATTTATTTATTTATGATGTAGGCAAAAACCTGGAACTCAACACATTAAATTAAAGCAAGAACTAGAAGAGAAGATAGCAACGCAACGATCTCTGGAGTGGACGAAGCGCCTTGAAAATGAGAAACAGCAGCAAAAAGAATTAAATGCTATGATGGGTGAAGCATCAGATGTTGAAAACGAAGAAGATGATATTGATAAAATAGAAGCAAAATTACGGGAAAATGAAGCTGAAAGTAAAAGATCTTCTGACAGTGAAGAAGAAGAAGAAGAAGTTATTGAAGACGATGTATTGATTGAAGATAAACCAAGAAAGAAGAATCATTTAGTTGCTGATGAAGCCGAAGAATCTGATATGGATGATGGTGTTCAAAGTAACATTGACGAAGATGAAAACCAGTTTGACGCAGAAGACGATAATGCTGCCGAAAATGATGAACAGAATGACGTTCAAAGTGAAGAAGATTCTAGTGAAAATGAAGAATCTTCAGAATCAGAAGATGATCAAGAAATGAAACCAAAAAAAAGTAGAATATTGAAGGCTTTTGAAGATTCAGATGATGACGAATCAGATAAAAAAATTAGTATAATAAGAACAGTCACACTAGAAAGGGATGAACTTCATTCCAACAAGAAAGACTCAACATCTCCTTTGATAAGTCAGATCGGTAAAACGCGGGCGTCAGAAGACATTAGCAAATCGGAAATTAATACGATACAAACCAGTGATAATATTACGGAATCACAAGGTAAATAAGGCTATATTGTTAAGTAACCTTATCCACAGCTACAAGCAGTCATGAACATTTGTCAGAGACTTCAGAGAGCAAAGTTAAGACCAATAAAAGGAGATGTTTAACAATTATGCTAATCTGAATAAAAATAACAAATTTGATTATGCTTTATTTTCAGATGAAGATCTCCAGTTAGCTCAAGTTCCTAAAACGAATTCTGAAGAAATATTTACTAGTCAAGAAAGTATATCTAATAAACCTATCAATTCAGTCAGTGACTGTAATGATGTTGACTTGGGATCCCAGACATTTTCTATTGTAAATCCTAGTAGTGTTTTAAAAACTAATTCAGAAATTAATGTAAATAGTCAAGAAAAGACAAGTATTTTATCTGAAACTCAGCCAGTTGATGTGAGTATTTTACAACCCTTAAGGATTGTTTTATAAAGACTATTATCAATGTGAAATTATTTTTTTATTGCAGGATAACTTAGACATTGTAGCAGGCTTGTGTTCGGGGAGCTTATCTCAAAATTACATAGAATTTAAACCACCTTCAACACAATCGCAGAACTTAGAGTCGCAACCGCTAGGGGATGATATTTTAGACATGTGCACTGGAAAATTTTACGATAATCAATTGGTTACACAAACTGATGATAATGTCGATTGTACAAGTCTTGACATAACCCCCGATTCCACAGTAGGACCTGTGGAAGGCGAAAAAAAATGTGAAACAATCAAAAAGGCTGATGACGTACTGAAATCTGTTCTTGATGAATTAAATGAATCGGAAATTGAATATTCTAAACCCATGAAATTTTTCTGTGATGGTAAGAATAAAAATGAAGGCAATGAACATAGTGTAAATAATAGTCAAATGAAAAAGAAATTTGTCATAGATTCTGATGATGACATTACGGATGAACCTGAAAAAAGTAAAAGTAAGAAAAAGAAAATAATTAAAAAGAAAAAACCTGAACAACGTGCTTTGCAGATTTCAGGTGAGTAGAAGCTAATGTCTTTTTTTTATTATTGGCGACTGTTTAAGTAGAATTAATAAAGTGACTATATTTTTATATTCTAGATGATGAAAATGAAGATTATAGTGAACAAGAAAATGATTACATGTCGGACAATGAAGACCTACAAAATAATGATGAAGAAAGATTGGTAGAATATGATTCGGAAGAGAACGAGGTAAGTTTAAGTTTGATTGTAACTAGCTACACAAAACAAAGCTAAAGTACTTGCAAACCCTAGTATGTAACTACCTAAATAGCTTTATAAAACACTAGTGGCCCGCCCACACTTCGCTTCGGTGTACAGCTGTAGTGTAGACTATAGTTTTTGTTCTTAGGTTTGTATTTATGCAACTTTTTTTTGGTGAACACGCTAACAACATCTCAGGAAATACTGGACCGATTTAAAAAAAACTTTTTCTGTTGGATAGTGCATTTATCGAGGCAAGCTATGGGCTATACAACATTACGCTACAACCAGTAGGAGCGGAGCATAGATGATAGATCAAAGATGATGATAAATGGAACAAAATTGGATAAAAATATTAAATTTGTGAGCTTCCGTTGCGTGCGTAAACGCAATCTAATTAAGACAAAAATCATGTATCACAGAATTATTCCAGTTTAAAAGTATTATATAAATGACCGCGACAGCATTTGCCCATCGTTTAAGTTTGACTCACTTTAACCTTTTTCCTTAAATTAACGCGGGTGAAACCGCATGGGACCTTTAGGCGCTTTGCAGACGACGGGGCGGGGCGGGCTTTTTGTCCGCGAAGCAATAAAGACCGCGTCTGCCCGTCGATGTCTGCGGCTGCCTCGGGGCCGCCGTCTGCGTTACTGCATATAAACTGGTTTGTATGATCCACGGCGGGCAGCCGCGGACATGCCGCGCCGCCAGTGCCCGCCGGGCACCTGCGGCGCGGTCTTTTTGCCCTCTGTGTGCGTTTGAAGTATAGGATTCACTTTATGCTATTATTCGCGGCGAAATTGACCGGCCCGCCCCGCCCCGTCGTCTGCAAAGCGCCTTAGTTGTAATAGTTAGACATTATGGACATAACTGTTATAGTTAGACATAATGGTATCACGGACTTTTTTGTAGATATTGATGTCTTCTATAAAACTTCAGTATATCACTTTGCTCCATTGGCATCGACTTCCGCAGCGTAAGCGATATAAAGTAATTTTTTTTCATACCCTGAGTTACATTTTACATAGTGTTGCCCAAATTCAGTCTTGGTCTTATTCTTGCATTTTTTCAAGAGTAGAGTAAGTAAGAGAAAAAGTACAGGTGTTCAAAAGAATAAATAAGTTTCAGAGTGCTTATAGAATGGAAACGAATACATTATACTGATCACGCAAGTAGTATTATGATTAGATAATGGTAAGGATAGGTAGTAGATGTCATAATAATTTAAACTAGTAAGTATATATTATAATAATGATTATATGGGTTTAAACTAATTACTTAGGTGCTATTATTGTACATTTAGTCAAAATATTTCTTAAATTTCTTAAGTTTTTACAAGAAAAAATAGCAAAAAAAGTGGTCAAATATCACCCGTTTGATAAATATTGTAGCCATTTTTAAATATACTTGAAACGTGTAAAAAAAATCTACAGAACTAATAAAATAATAAAAAAAGCGTACCTTCCTACTTATAAAATAAAAAGTCTGTGATAAGATTTTTTATTAAATCTCATATAAGTTGAGGGTTCAATCTCTTTCTAGACAGATATTGTTCTTTAAAATACAGTCAAGTTATTGTAATTAATTTGTTTTTTACATGTTTTAGCACATGTAAGCTTATAAAGCGTTAATGTTTATTAAGAAGATAACCATGTGGCAGTTGATTTTTCGAATTTCTTATCAAATCTTCAGACATTTATTAATTTGATTGGTCTTTACTATGGCTATGTTAATTGAAGCTCACAATGTTCCAATTTTAATTCGTTTTTCTAAGATCTAAAGTAATTTTAATAAATAGCAATAGTCTAATAGGTAATTGCAAGACTTGCAACACTCTTGCTGCAAGACCAAGACCAAGACTGGGAGCGCAAGACCAAGACCAGGTGTATTGGCGCAAGACCAAGACCAAGACTGGCTAAGTCTCGTCTTGTTCTTGCATTTGGGCAACACTAATTTTACATTATCGATGTTTTCATACGACACCCTAATTTTTTTGATAATACCATACAGCCTATCATCAGGGATAATGTAGGATTCTAAATGAGAATTAGAATTATTGCAATCGGTCCAGTAGTTTCGGAGCCTATTCAATACAAACAATCAATCAAATTTTTCCTCTTTATAATATTAGTATAGATTATAGATGGGTGATATGGGCTACTGTTGTCCGATTTTTTTTTATAGGTAGGTATGTTAAAAGGTTGGTGTGTGGTGGTAAAATACATAAGAAATAAGAATAAACATACTGTTATATAGCTAGCTTTCAGGAAAAAAAAATGGATTACTTATGAACATCGCATACTATTTTACACAAATTTTCATTTGGCAAAAAGCAGTCAGTTTTTGTTATTATCTTTAAATTTATTTAAAAGTTTTGACGTCTGACGTGCAATCCTTAGACTAATGTGTCTTACAGACAGATGCGGTCTGTGGCCTCGAGTGTAATCGCTTGCAATGTAATTAAGTAGTCAAACACGAGCAACCAATAAGGCCCTGTCTGTGAGACCCTTCAAGTAGGCGCCACATGGTTGTTGTTTGCTGCACACAACAAGCACTTCAATTATCTACCACAATGACTCAACACAAATGCGAATTCCAAGCTTGGTCAGCGTATTCGTATATTCCTGTTTGGCAAACATCTTTTAATTTGTACAAAAAAACCTACACAGAAGCGGATCGCTGGCGAACACAAACAGCAAACAACACTGATAGGCAAACAGCCAACAAGATTGATGTTTGTGTCTGCTGTTTCCCAAGCGAGTTCATTAAATGTAATCAATTATGTATAAATGAGCGGAGCATAGATGATAGATCAAAAATGATGATAAATGGAACAAAATTGGATAAAAATATTAAATTTGTGAGCTTCCGTTGCGTGCGTAAACGCAATCTAATTGAAAAAAAATCATGTATCACAGAATTATTCCAGTTTAAAAGTTCTATATAAATGACCGCGACAGCATTTGCCCATCGTTTAAGTTTGACTCACTTTAACCTTTTTCCTTAAATTAACGCGGGTGAAACCGCATGGAACCTTTAGTTGTAATAGTTAGACATTGGTGTCGATTCTGGCAGGGTCCTTTAAACCTAAACTTAAATTTGACAACGGTGTATCCTTGTCATTCTCTATACAGAGGGAAAAGGAGAGGCTGATGTTAAATTTAGCTTTAAGTTTAGAGAATCATGCCGGAATCGACACCATTATGGATATAACTTTTATAGTTAGACATAATGGTATCACGGACTTTTTTGTAGATATTGATGTCTTCTATAAAACTTCAGTATATCACTTTGCTCCATTGGCATCGACTTCCGTAGCGTAAGCGATATAACGTAATTTTTTTCACACCCTGGGTTACATTTTACATTATCGATGTTTTCATACGGCACCCTAATTTTTTTGATAATACCATACAGCCTATCATCAGGGATAATGTATGATTCTAAATGAGAATTGGAATTTTTGCAATCGGTCCAGTAGTTTCGGAGCCTATTCAATACAAACAATCAATCAAATTTTTCCTCTTTATAATATTAGTATAGATTATAGATGGGTGATATGGGCTGCTGTTGTCCGAATTTTTTTTTATAGGTAGGTTTGTTTAAAGTTTGGTGTGTGGTGGTAAAATACTTAAGAAATAAGAATAAACATACTGTTATATAGCTAGCTTCCAGGAAAACAAAAAACAAATGGATTACTTATGAACATCGCATACTATTATACACAAATTTTCATTTGGCAAAAAGCAGTCAGTTTTATCTTTAAATATATTTAAAAGTTTTGACGTTTGACGTGCAATCTGAGGTGCAATCCTAAGACTAATGTGTCTTACTGACAGATGCGGTCTGTGGCCGCAGCTGGGGTGGAGGGAGGGGAGTGTAATCGCTTGCAATGTAATTGAGTAGTCAAACACGAGCAACCAATAAGGCCCTGACTGTGAGACCCTTCAAGTGGGCGCCACATGGTTGTTGTTTGCTGCACACAACAAGCACTTCAATTATCTACCACAATGACTCAAGACAAATGCGAATTCCAAGCTTGGTCAGCGTATTAGTATATTCCTGTTTGGCAAACATCTTTTAATTTGTACAAAAAAACCTACACAGAAGCGGATCGCTGGCGAACACAAACAGCAAACAACACTGATAGGCAAACAGCCAACAAGATTGATGTTTGTGTCTGCTGTTTCCCAAGCGAGTTTATTAATATTCATTTATGTATCTGTGCAGATCGAAGTGAAACAACGGCCGCAGAAGAAAAAGCGCAAGGCGGCAGAGTTCTTCGAGCAAGAAGCGGAGTTGACGTCGGAGGACGAGTGGTGTGGTTCCGGGGACGAGGACGAGGCTGGCCTCGATCGCATGGAGAGGGAGGCCGGCGACGACGACGCCTTCCACCAGGGACGGCTGCAGGCCGAGCTGGGGCAAATACACGCGTGAGTGGGGCACACATAATATGGCGGGGGGGGGGGGGGGGGGGGGGCTCTAATCTATCTATACATTAATAAAATGGTAGGAAAGTCAAAACTGTGCATTGAATATTTTTTTAAAACAATACTTGGGGTGTGATCTACAATCGATACCGAAGTCAAAAATGTAGTTTTTAGAATTTTTGTCTGTTTGTCTGTATGTATGTCCGGGATAAACTCAAACCCTCTTATTAATAAACGAAGACTACGCTTGGATTAGTTACTCCATGTTTTGTCTTTGTCTATTGAATGACAAATGGCATTTGAGTGACATGAACAAAACATGCTGTAACTAGTCTAAGCTTATGTCATGTTTATTAATAAGGGGGAAAAAGTACTGCATGGATTTACTTCAAATTTGGCACAAATAATATTAAGAAGTCGGGTCAACATATAGGCTACATATTATCGCGCTATCACCTACGGGGAGCGAGCAGCGATCCTTTATTTCTAACTAACTCCACGCCTACGAAGTCGCGGGCGGTCGCTAGTAATAAATATTTCCAACACTAGCATCGAATAGGGAAGATGCCAATATAATATTTATGAAAATTTTATAATTAAGCTAAGAACGTTAAGTTTAACTCACAATTTCCCTTCACAGTCTCATCATCAATATATTTTATAAACGGTGTTAATAATAATTATGTCTATGTATGGGTATGTATATATATATATATTATAAATATTTATATAAGTAATATATTTAAATGTATTCTATGCATGTATATTTAGGTTTATTTTTAAATAAATATTTATGTAGTTACTTTTACTGGTGTATGTTTAAAGTAAATCACTTTTTTTTTATTATTATAGCCGCATTCGTGGATTTCTTTATGCCTAAAGGTTGACTGGCAGAGAATGCTTTTAGCGTTAAGTCCGCCTTTTGTCCATTTTTGTAATTGTGGCAATAAAGTTTAAATAAATAAATAAATAATTAAAATCTTAAAAAAATATAAAAGAAAGGCTACTGCAACGTTCTTATTTTACATTATGTTGTTTTTTAACAATAATTACGAATTAAAAATTACTTTTAAAACACCAATCAGCGTTAAGTGACGTCACTCCTGTTATGACAACTAATTTGAGATTATGGTTGTAAAAGTGAATATTATTTTATGGGAATATTGATTGCGTTTTTTGATAAAAATGGAAGTTGGGTATATTAAAGTTTATAGGTTAGTGTTGACATGGTTGTAACTTTTTTTTCCAAAGTGCGGAGTTTTCAAGTGTAGAAATGAAAGGGACTAAATTACTACGGTATGTATAAATCATAGTTGTTAAACTTTGTATTTTATTCAGCGGCTTCTACACATAGCAGTTATTTCAGCTCAACAAGAGAATCTTACGGCGATAACGCAATCGGCTATGTCCAAATTAAAAGAGATGGACAATTATGTACAGTAAAAAGTCGAGTTACTCCGGAGCATAAAGTACGTAAAGAAGGTTATCGTGTTACAGTTATTTTAAATGAAACGCAAAGTTTGGTTCAGTCCTGCCAATGTGTAAAGTGTGCCACACATTTTAAACTTTATCCTATTTTCGACGTCATTCTCCAACTGTAAAATTAAAAATATGTTATAGACAGGTTTTGAAGGTTTTAGGTAAGTTACTAACGCGTTTTTACGTACAAGGAGATTTAATAAGCATATAACAAGTATATTCGCCGACTTACGTCAAAGTGATCTTCACAGCATCGAATAATGGTCTTTGGAGAATAATTGTTAATTCTCTTCGCAGCTTGAAACCACTTTTTTGTCAGTTTTGGGTCAATTAAATTAATTCAATCAAAAGTCAAAAACAATTTATTCGGAAATTTTGTTGAAGTAGATGGACACATTGGCGCAAAACATGAGTCAACACGGCTTTTTCGGAATATTAGTGGTATTATTATGATCACCTGATGATGATGGATAGTCCATTTTAAATTTTTACAAAAAATATCTCCATAGTCAAAGAAATATGCAAAAGTATGAAAATTGAAAGCCAGCGACGAACAACTACGACCAGTGACAGACAGGAGTGACGTCATCGGAACCATAGGTCCGTTTCGCGCGAAAATTGAAATTGACAATTTAAAACCGCATTTTTCCGATAAATTACAATGTTTTAATTTTTTAATATATCTGTGGTTTATTCTACATGGGATTCTTTAAAATGAAAACAAGAATAAAAATATTGCATCTTCCCTATTAGTCTAGCCTCAAAGTAAGCATTGAAAGATTCATTATACTTACACTTGAACCCGGGACCTCACGAGTAGGCGACACCGTGAAACCCAGCGTACATACCCTACGGCCGTGGAGATAAATCTTAATAATATTCAGATGATATCATTATCATAATCATCAGCCAGCGTACATACCCCACGGCCGCGGAGATAAATCTTAATAATATTCAGATGATATCATTATCATAATCATCAGCCTTTAAATGATAAATATGATTTCCACCAAACTGCACGCACTCCATCGTATAGGAAAGGATAGAACGGACGGAGCGACAAACAATCTCGTCCGGCAGCAGAGGGTTCTTGTGTGTACTATAGAGTTCTACCCAGAAGGGATAGAACCTGGGAGCGTAGATGTTAATTGAAAGATACTGATAGAGATAAGTTATTTATTTCGTTTTATCATTCAGGCTAATATAAAAGTATTTTATCTAAATACGAGAGGAATTCTTGGCGCCTGAAGATCTAATCTTCAATGGAACCTTCTATCAAAAGACAGACGATTCCTCATTTCAAATCTTAAAATCATGACATTATTTTTTTAATATAACTGCCAACCGTAGGCATTGCAAAAGCAAAGAGTTTACCTAAACAAGGAGGCTGCAACGTTAAGGACGTTACAGTACTGACAAAGCATGTAAGATCTTTAAATCTAAAGAAAAGTTTACTAGAAAAGATTCCACGTGGACAAGGCAGCAGACGGGACTCGAATTCGATACGGCCGTCAGGGCCGCGGTAGCATAGTGGCCAGTGTATTCGCCCGGATAGCGAAGGGTGCGGATTCGAGTCCCGCCTGCTGTCTGGCCCGCGTGGATTTTTTTCTAGTAATCTTTTATTAAAATTTAAATATCTAGCACTGAAATGCTTGAAAAATAAAAACAAAACCATGTAAGATCTGTTTAACCAACACAAGAAGACACATGAATTATGACTCTGTCTCCCTATCAGATCGGCTTTGTACGGTTTCCGCTCCTTGCTTACGTATCGTATCTCTATATGAGCCTATCGCGTGTCGCGGAAGATATCCTCGGTTAAGTTGCTGTGCGTGGCTTGGTAATATGGTTTTAAATACTGTATACACAATTGATTTTCTTTAAAGATTGTAAAATTCATTACTTTATTGTCTCTACTAATAGAGCACAGGCCGTCCCTATGGATGGCGTAGGGAGGATAGTCCATGACCCACGCGGGCCCAGTACGGATTGATGGGTGCTAACGACTACAGAAGCAACCGGGACCAACGGCTTAACGTGCCTTCCGAAACACCAACCCATGCAATGAGCGACCACTGCGAAAGTAGCTTAACTTCCTATATTGCAGGCCCGCGCGCTTTCTACCTACGCCATCGAGTTCCACAATAATATGACTGCTGAGGACGAATAGGAATATAGGGATGTATCGTCAGTATCGTCGTCTTAACAGCTCAATAGATAAGTCTTAATATCATCGTCACCATCATTATAACTATGATTTGTACTTTACGGCATGCATCGCATCGTGTCGGAAAGGGTACGATCAATATTTTGCACAAAGAATACAGCTACAACCGATTTCAAATGTCTTTGCATACGAGCAAACGATGAAAGCCATATGGAGCTCCATATGGCTTTCATCGTTTGCCTACAGCAATTTACAAGTTTTTTTTTTGTTATTATTACAAATAAAATAATTATATTCCAATTTAAATTTACAGGCGAGACATTCTAGATCAAGACAAGCGCGAAGTGAGGTTGATTCAAGAGCTGTTATTCGAAGATGGCGATTTGGGTGGTGGCGGTCGGCAGCGGAAATTCAGGTGGAGAACAGAAGGTTGGTAGTTACAATATAATTTTAATTATTGTTCCGTACCTCAAGAGGAAAAAACGGAACCCTTATAGGATCACTTTGTTGTCCGTCCGTCCGTCCGTCTGTCAAGACCGTTTTTCACAGGAACGCGTGGAGGTATGAAACTGAAATTCATATCTAATACTTCATGTCTACTGTCCCTTAGAGCTGTGAAAAAATCAAACTTCTAAGCCAAAGCAATCAAAAGATACACCCGTTTATGCCGCAAATTTTCGAACTCGCACGGGAATCAAAACCTACAGGGTGCTTCCTGTGAACATAGCATCTTGAAATTTGGTACGAAGTAACGTCTTATAGTACAAATAAAGGAAAAATTGCGAAAATCGTAAATTTTTAGTTACATCATATACTAAAAAATATTTTTGGAAATTCAGGTTTGTACGGAACACTGCGCGAGTCCGACTCGCACTTGGCCGATTTTTTTAAACAACATCACATGCATTATTAGGCCCTAGTCTTAGTAGCATGGGCTGCATTATCTCAACCTGACATCGTGTGCCTATTTTTCGTGAGGAATGGCATCAGTTCTGCTGTCGCAGCTATTTTAATAACTCCTCTAACAAATAAGTTTGGGGTTTGTCCGTATTTTTACACCTTAGTTTTGGAAAATGTAATTGGTAGGTGGCACTGTAGACGTGTTCTTGGATTTTATATGAACTTCTAAACGGCTGGCACGATTTCAATAAAATTTATGTGTGCATTCGAGTGGCTGGTTAAACTCATAAATGTACTTTGTAGATGGCGCTGCAGTCGGTTTCTACGCAATCTTTTACTGAAATTGATTATTGAAGCTGGCTGTCTTACCGACTTTTAGAAATATAAATCTTTCGAGATTGTTTCAAAACTCTTTTAGAAAGTTTTAGATTTTTCAATTAATTAAGGTTCCGTACCTCAAAAGCAAAAAACGGAACCCTTATAGGATCACTTTGTTGTCCGTGTCCGTCCGTCTGTTAAGACTGTTTTTCTCAGGACCGCGTGGAGGTATCAAACTGAAATTCATATCTAATACACAGATCTACTGTCCCTTGAAGCTGTGAAAAAATCTAACTTCTAAGCCAAAGCAATCAAAAGATAAAGCCGTTCATGCCGCAAATTTTCGAAACTCGCACGGGAATCAAAACCTACAGGGTACTTCCCGTGAACTTAGAATCTTGAAATATGGTACAAAGTAACGTCGTATAGTACAGATAAAGGAAAAATTTCGAAATCCGTAAATTTTTAGTGACATCATATAATAAAAAATATTTTATAACAATTATTAAAATATACCTACAGGTTTGTACGGAACCCACGGTGCGCGAGTCCGACTCGCACTTGGCCGGTTTTTTTTCTTATAGTTTTTCTAATCCAATATTTTCTTACACATTCTATGTTTTCCAATTCCGCAGACGGAGAGGATGTCACTGGCACAATACCAAACGATTTGATGGATACACAGGAAGAAGAATTCGAGTCTGAAGAGCAGTGGAGGAAGCAGAGGCACGAGAGGGAAGTGTTCCTGAGGCAATTGGTAAGAATAGCTTCTCTATTCTTCTAATAAAATTACTAAAATAAACTTTAACTTACAAAAAATCTATAGCCAGTGTAACATTCTATCACTTTTTGCAATGGGGTATCGTCTTGGACCTGATATGGCAAATTTTAAATGCAAATTTAAATAAAAATAGAAAGGAACAAATCATCTTACAGCTGATTAAGAAAGAATGCTGCGATCAACACGATAATCATGGGATTGGTTAGGATTTCCGTTTAACATTATCTTACCCAATAAATGCATAGCCGAATTCATTTGCAGATATTTGATTTGTCAAAGTATTTTGTTTTGTCTGAGTGAGTGTCGCGTTAGTATTTTAGATTAGCTGTGTGGGTTTGGAACCATGGTTTAGCGGCCTTTGTTAGAGAGTAATTATCATCTATAGTTCTTTATCATTTCTAATTCATTGGTACCAAGTGAATTATAGGTAGTATACTAAGTGAAACACAAGGAATAGAAATAAGCTTGCATTGCCACCCTACAGGTTACAGAAGGTTTACCGATCTTTTATGGGTCAAGGTATACATTTTTATAATAAAATTCCTGATGCCATTCTTGAGTTACCCATAAATGAGTTCAAATGTCACATTAAAAATTGTTTACTTAAGAAAGGCTATTATACTATTAAAGAATACTTGAATGACAAAACTGCATGGCTGTAACTGTAAATTTGTTTTGTATTTGTTTGCAGTGTCGTACAGATAAATTACCTGAATTCTAAGTAACTATTTTACTTGGTTTGAGTGGTTATGGGTAGTCATGCTCTCTTAAAAATCTCTTCGGCGGTGTCGTGTGAGGCGGATCGTTGCGTTCCCTACAATATGGTTGAGCGAAACGATGGCTGGTTCATGCGTCATGCTCGTGAACGGGTGCTGCCAGCGGAGATGAGTCTGCTCTATACTACTTTATTATTATTATAATTAATTATTTAATTTAATTTTTATTTGTAATTGTATTTATACTGTATGGCACAGCAATCAAATTTAAAATTTAGGTGAACATTTATTATTTCTGAGATAAAGATTTAATGGTGGTGTGGATTCTGGCATGGTTCTCTAGACCTGAACTTCGGTTTTGCAGCGGTGTATCCTTGTCATTCTCTATACAGAGTGAAGGGGGGGCACTGATGTTGGGTTTGGTTTTGGGTTTGGAGGGTAGTGGCAGAGTCGACACTAGTGTTTAGGTAACCACATGCATGTGTCCTACAGTTGTGTTTATAGTTTTTTATAGTAATGTACACTGGTACTTAATTTTTTTTTTCCCCTATTTTGCTATCTAGTATCCATATGTGGTTATGGGTAGTCATACTCTCTTAAAAATCTCTTCGGCGGTGTCGTGTGAGGCGGGTCGTTACGTTCCCTAAAAAATGGTTGAGCGAAGCGATGGCTGGTTCATGCGTCATGCTCGTGAACGGGTGCTGCCAGCGGAGATGAGTCTGCTCTTGCTACATTGGGTACTATTAATCGTTGTATTTAACTTTAATGGTATATTTGTTTTTATGCCTAAACAGTGGGACACGGCATTCCTAAACTTTTTTAATTTTTAAATCTGTTTTTTATATTTTTTATTTTATAGTCATAATTGTTTTATCATTTACATTTGTAATGGAAAGTGACTTCATGGGTTATCTCATATTGAACTCATTTTTCAAATTGACGACTCTGTATATAATACAGGGAGAAAAAAACAGCCCTTGCTGAGTTTCTTGCCGGTTCTTCTCAGTACAAGGTCTCCCGCCGTAGATTTGCGAACCGATGGCGTAGCTTTTAGACATTCACAAGTGCTTGTAACAGCCTAGACTGAATAAACGATATTGAATTTTGAATAGGTATCAAATGAAATTAATGATAGCAAAATAATAGTAGGGAAAATATACAGATAAGTAAGATAAGGTATTATGATATCAATCAACAGTATTTTGTTTATTATAGAAAAATGAAGACAAATCTGAAGACGTTCTAAACATCAGCGTGAATCGAACGACTATAATAAAAGCGAACCTATTATCCAGAACTATGTCTAGCATTTTAGAAGATCAGAAACCCGATTCTGAAATGCCCGAAAACACCACGGTTTCCGATAAAAAGATTGTAAAGGATATACCGAGCCCTAAGAAGCCATTCCCAGTTTTTAAGGTAATTATTTGCATAACTATCTGCTTACAAATATTCTTCAAAGCAATAACTTATAGGGTCATGTACGAATTTAGACAGCTCCGTAATCGTATCGTATCATCAAAGTTTCTATGAGCGACTTTTTAATCGCGTAGAGGGTTTTCATTGTTTTAAGTTGGATGTGTAAAATCAATCAGACAAGAACTAAACCACTGGCTCTTACCTTCTAGTGACAAGAGTCTATTTGTGAAAAGAGTTGTCTTGCTACGGACCACCAACTACGAATCAATCAGTTTTTTCTTAATTATTTAAATGTTTTTGATGTGTAACATCTTTCCTCTCGCTTTCTTGCAATTTGTGGGAGTGATTTCGTGAAATGGGACGGAAGTGTGTAACAGGAAGTCGGGAAAGCGCGCGCTATTTGTTTTGATTTAAGAACAATGTTCAAATGGCTTATTCCTTTTGTAGTAGGTTTTATTTCTTTTTTTACTAATATAAGGTGAGGTTTCAAATGTTACACATCATACGCGACTACTGTAAGGCTCCCTTGCTTTTTTTTACGCCACCAGTCACGGATCTAAATGAAATAATTGTGAATTTGAACATCAATAAACAAATTGAAACAACATTTTCAACGGGATTTAAATGCGTTTTTAACGTTTTCCGCATCCCTTTCGGAATGCGTGCGAGACGATATCAGGACAATGACATTTCGGACTCGCACACTATTGGAATTCGATATTGGTTCGCGCTAAGGGTACTGAGCGCAGAGTCATTATTACCTGTGGTCCATTTGAAATGTATCTGCAAATTTTGTAGCCATCTCATAGATATCACTTTAGAAGAGAGGATAAAGGAGATGCGTGCAGCAGTTGGTGAATACGATGCGCAGTCTGTCCTACTTATTTATATTTTATATATTTATATTTGTGTGCTCTCATTCTGTGGAGGAGCTCGATGGCGCAAGTGGTAAGCGCGTTCGGCTGCGATCGTTGAAATTAAGCAACTTTCGCAGTGGTCGGTCATTGGATGGGTGACCAAAAATTTACTATCTCCAGCTCCTCCGTGCTTTGGAAGGCACGTTAAGCCGTTGGTCCCGGCTGCATCTGTAGTCGTTAGCACCCACCAATCCGCACTGGGCCCGCGTGGTGGGTCATGGCCCAATCTCCCTATTCTATCCATAGGGAAGGCTTATGCCTCAGCAGTGAGGACATTAATAGCCTGATGATGATGATGATTTGTGTTCTCAGCAAAACTACCACGGATCTCTGTTGACGCGAGGTCGCGGGGCTTTGGCTAGGCTAGCAGCTTTAGCGACCCCCTTAGCAGTCGATGTCGACGCACCCAAAATTGGACTGATCGCGACTTCTAGCAAGAGGAACTTCGTGTTTGCCGCTATCACCCCAGAGGATAAAGAGCTCAAGGTATACAATACAGAGAGGAAGAAAATATAATTCACACACACACATATATATATATATATATAATTATCAACAATATTAAATACCCTAGATACGACACGAGCGCTCAAAATGTGTCCTAATCAAGAAGTGCTTGAACTCCACTCAAGCACTTCTTGGTTCACAGTCACGCCACAGAGCTCCGCGAAAAAATGCGAAAATAATACTTAAAGTACGAAAAGTGTCGTTTTTTCGATGTGTCAGTGTCAATGTTTGTTAATTTAACGCATTTGAAGTAAATTTTCATCTAATACTTACTATAAACTGATTTAATATAAAATATTTGTGATATTCAAATGCAAGGTCGGTTATACGTCGCCATATAGCCGTCTCTTTTCCTCGCGGTCCGTGCTATATTGCTAACAGCGCGTTCAGAATTGCGCGTAGAGTCAAAGAACTAAGGTCTAAATTCTTCCGCATATAGCAATAAGTCATAAAATTTTACGAGCTTGCAACTCGTCCTTGACGCATGCGTTGTATTTAAGACTTTAAACAGTATTTATTAAGGGTTACTTTCAATAATTAAATAATGCCTTATATTGATTTTGACTACGAGATCATCTTACGGAGCTCCGTGGATCGTTCGATGTACCTTTTGGACAGGTTTTGTTCGTGTTGGTGTAGGGTATTTAATATCGTTGAAAATTGTGCCTAAATTAATGATTGTCAAAATGTTTGAGTGAAAGTCAATAATCAGTGTGATGTGAATTTGGAAAGGGGCTGGTACTTATAGCACAGAGTATTCTTTTTTAAGTACCAACAGCTAATAGTATGTCATAACTGTGTCATACCTATGTGATAGTATAGTAAGCTATGTAATCATTATATTTTGTGGAAAAATAAACTATTATTATTACTAAATTATTTATACCATAGTTTGAAACACTGATAACGTACAATAAATTACTAGAGATCGGATAATCGGATGCATATTTACCTCGTGTAGAGATGTCGGCTATTATGGAAAGCACTTTTTTATCGAAAAAATCCTGTGATTCGGGCAAATTCTTGAAGTGTATACTCCGTGAGATTAATAAACCCACTTTGACACAAATGACAGTTGCCCTGTGTGTATAACACTAAAATGTTGTGTAAGATGTCTTTAATGAATAAATTCATTTATGTTTTCTTATTAACCACACCGCCATTTCTCTTACACCTTACATACATACATACAACAATGGGAAATCAAAATTTAACTTTAAGCAAACTATACATCCGATTAGTTATGCGATCCCGGAATCTCGGGTTTTTTTTATTTAAATAAAATATTCTAACATTCGAGGAGCTATGGCGCAAGTGGTTAGCGCGTTCGGCTGCGATCGTTGAAGTAAAGCAACTTTCGCAGTAAAATTTACTATCTCGAGCTCCTCTGTGCTTCGGAAGGCACGTTAAGTCGTTGGTCCCGGCTGCATCTGCAGTCGTTAGCACCCACCAATCCGCACTGGGCCCGCGTGGTGAGTCATGGCCCAAACTCCCTATTCCATCCATAGGGAAGGCCGGTGCCCCAGTAGTGGGGATAGCCTAAAAATAACTTTAGGTAAATATGCATCCGATTATCCGATCTGTAATCATCAGAGAACATTATTATTATTTAAAAAATCTTATGAAAATGTTAACTATTTTCATATGAGCCAATCGTTCTTATTCTTTTGCTATGTTGTAACTAACTCCATTATTTTAATTTATGATAAATTATTAAAATACTAGTCATATTTAGTGCCATTTCAGCCACCCTTTTTAGGGTTCCGTACGGAACGCACACGGAAAGCTCGATGGGCCAGTCCGACTCGCATTTGCCCGGTTTTTTTTCTTTACTATAAGGCTAAGTTCAGATGGGCACGCGACGATGCGCGTACATGTTTACGCGCGTATAGTTTCTAAGTCATTACATAGGAGCGGTTATAACCCTATAGGTATAAGAATAGAGTGGGAAAGACAGCTCTAAAGGTGTCGGTCTAGTAGAAAGAGAAAGAAGATGAGAGACCGCTAGCTATCTCTCTCTCTCTTGTGACGCATGGCATCCAATGGCATAACATCGACATAGTAAGATGCTTACAGTTGCCAATGCGCATGCGCGATTAGAGAGAGAAAGCTAGCGGACGCTCATCTTCTTTCTCTTTCTATTAGAGGGCCACTTCCACTTGTAGTAGAGCCTATATCTCCCCTACTCTATTCTTATACCTGTATGGTTATAACGCCCGACGTCGCTGCTCCGTCGCAGGTACCTTGACTAAGCGAGTGTATTGAGTTCCTATAGTCAAGTTTCGGTCTGTTCAGTTGATCCACGCGACTCGCGTGCAATGTAGAAATCCTTTAATCATAAATAACCCAATTATTTGCATGACGTTTCTATGTGATTCTTTTTGCGATTTCGTAATAAGTAATTTATAAAAAAATCTTCCAAGTGGTTAGTACATGTCGTGGCAGTTTGTAATTAAATTCAAATTCTTACTGTACAAACATGGTAATTTTAACATGTTTAGTGTAAGTCTTGTAAACGTTCCTTAAATAAATAAAATGTTTGCGGGTAGCTGTGTGTTATCGTTTGTCATTTGAACTTCTTTGACGTACGATCACGCGCGTCGTCGTGCTACCGTCTAAACGTAGCCTTATGCTTTGTCGAATTTTTTTTTATATTTAATTTAACTCGGTATTTTTGACCTGTAGGTTACCAAAAGGAAAGCCGATGTCGATGTCGGGACCCCTAGACTCGTCAAGAAAATGAGAAAAGAAGAAAAAAAGCAGCCAAAAAACAGTCTTCTTGATCATTTGATGACGTGAAGCTGCAATTTTTACATTTGACACCATATGTATTGTCATTGCAAATGTAGATTAAATTATTATTACATAATATTGTTTATAAGCTGTTGACCTTTAGATGTAATTAGTATTATTTTACAATAAAAAAAGAAATTTCCTATTAAAGTTGTTCTTTCTTTTCAATGATAGCATTGTTATAAACGGATATTGATAGCTGTTTTTACTACTCTATTCAAACAAATAGAGTAGGTACCTTGTAAATAAAAGGCTGCTTAACAGACATAACTTCAACAGTATAATGTCGTACGATGTTTTACAATGGGGAAAATTTGCCAAATACATTCAGATTATTTTTGAGTTACAGGAGAGGCGCTTCATTTTTAGTTTATTCTTTTTGTCAATTTATTATATGTAATGATTTGGTAAGGAATCTCCAAGTTTAAAGAAAATGACAAAATTGACATAATGATGGCCGCAAAATAAAAAGTTAAGAAACTTACTACCTACCTATAGGACAATAGCGAAATATTTGTTGAAGTAAATCTTTAGCGTCTATAGATGTCATTACCAGAAATGTTAATAAAATAATCTCAAAAGATTTATTAAACAATTCAGGAGGGTTGTCTAAGTCTGGAATTAAAAACTTGAAAAAGGGAAACACAATTGACTATTTATTTTTTATTTTTATTGGGGCTTGGCATCATGGCTTTTGCCATTTATTTTAAGTGATTTTAGTGATGAAATCAACTTTAAATATGTTATTCGTATGTTTTGCATCGCTTTACGCTTAAACTGTATTTAATTATCTATCAAAAATATCGGGAAACATTATTTTTCAATATTATATTGAAACCATAATAAATAATCTCCACAATACAAAATGAGTATGGCTACAATTCTAACGAAAGGGTACGGGTGCGGCCAGAGTGCACTCAGATTCAGAGTCAGATTCAGATTCTGAAAACAAGCGCGAGAAATAAACAGTGTAGTCTAAGCAGGTTGCCTGCTTTTTCTCGCGCTTTGTTTTCTGAGTCTGAATCTGAATCTGAATCAGGAGTGCAATCTGGCCGTACCCTTCGACTACACTGTTTATTTCTCGCGCTTGTTTTCGGAATCTGAATCTGAATCGGAGTGCATTCTGGCCGCACCCAAAAAACTATAACTGTCAATGTCATGCTTGTCATCGAATTGTTGTTGTTATTGTTCCCTTAAACTTATGTTACTCTTTGTTGTTCATTGTTGTTAACATCGTTGCTTGTGCTAAGTGCATGCGTGTTGCAACAATTTAAATCGGCGCATTGTGTTTTTTTCTGTGATCATCATCATCACTGCGACTGTTGAGTAGTGCTTGCCTAAGACTTCCGAATCTGATATTTCGGATGACTTCTTGCTGCGGATTTTGGACTCGATTGTGTCCCATACTGTGGATTTTATTTCATTGTATCTACTATCTACGATATTGTGATCTAAGATATGGAATAAAAAATATATAAAAAAGTGTTTCATATTTAATTAATATCCCATTAGAAATCCTTTTTTATACTTTATTATTGCTGTGGTCATTTTCAAATTGTTAAGTTCTTCTTACAGTACAAACATTGTATTCGAACTAAATAACCCTGGTCTGTTTAGTATTATTTAAGTATTTTGACACGGTTGGTCAGTACCTACGCCCACTGATCATACATTATAAAAAACATTTTTTTCCGTCACTAATCTATGGGACTCGTATACATTTTATTTTGATATAAAAATACTCTTGAAAATACTTTAATAATTCGTTTTTGTATTACTTGGTATGACATAACCTCCAAAACTTCAAAGTAGAATATCTATAAATCCTGACTTCCTATAATAAAAGAAATTAGACGAATCAAATTGAGAATCTAAACTCTATAATTTAACATGCAATTCATTTATAGACACAAAAAAAAATTTCAACAAAAATTTGTATGGGAGTTCACCATTGTCCTTTGGTAAACAAAAATATTTCTTCAAATATTTAATTTTAATTTAAAAAATCCTCCGCCAACCAAAAATAATCTAAAAAGTGTTAAAGTAAATAATACACCCCGACATTCCTAAATTTTGTTGAATCAGTTTTTTTTTTATTTTTAAGTCTTATTTTTTATATCATTTACATTTGTAATGGAAAGTGACTTCATGAGTTATCTCATGTTGAAGTCATTTTTCACAGTCCTTGCTGAGTTTCTTGCCGGTTCTTCTCAGTACAAGTCCTTCCGCTGTAGATTTGCGAACTGATGGCGTAGCTTTTCGACATTCACAAGTGCTTGTAACAGCCTAGATATTGATTTTTTTTTAGATATACCCAATCATTAGTAAACCGGTGAACCGCTAAAGAATTTGATCCATTATTGCTAGGTATGAGAATTCGATTACCTTTTTTTTGGTGCTATCTCTAATCGCGGTCCCCCCGAATGGACGACGACCGGGTTTAACTATTTACTTTATTTACTAAGTAGTTATAATACAGTTAAAAGGCCAACACAGTTTATTATTTCACTTTTTAGATAATTTTTGGATATCGGGGTTTTCTTTACTAATTGAGTCTTTTTTTCAATATTTTTAAGTAATAGTCGACAAACTTAAAACAACGCTGCGATCGTTATTTATTTATTGTGACCATTCTTATGAGCCCAAACACTCTTCATCTGCTGTAAGTAGCTGAGGAGTTGACTACCTTATACTGTGTCATCACCTATCATCATCATTACCATGTCTTGGAAATACCACCAAAGTAAAAGTGCAACAAATTCTTACTCACTGTACTTTCTCAATGGGAAATGAGTTGACGATCTTCAAAACCCCTGAACAGATCTTCATAAATTATAGATAAGAACCATCTCGATCATGTCAGCTTTTAAATAAAAAAAGCGGTTCCAAACCGCTCTGACAGACATACACACGTCAAACTTATAACACCCCTTTTTTCGCCGGGGGTTCATAAAAACGTGACACACGAAGTTACGACAATACTAGAATTTAAAATAAACCATTAATTAATTTACATAAGAGGTCTGTGTTTGCTTTAACAATAAAGTTAGTAATGTCCAAAAGTAAACGTTAAAGTCAAATGAATTTAAATCTACTTGGTATGTAAGAGTTGTTATAAGACACTTATTATGAAAGTGTCTGTTTTGAAATAGGTTTAGGTAGGTACCTACCAATCTACTAAATTGTTAAGCTTGCTAAAGAAACTTAACTTTAACCACAAATTTGTAGCAGTAAAGTAAATTTTGAACACGTAAGAACTAAGGGCCAACTGATTGGATTTTCTTTACTTGTAGTCGCTCAACGTAGCTCAAATTTTTGTTCATAGTTCTACAAATTACCTTCTATACAGGGTGGCCGGGGAGTTGACGTTCAAAAGTAAAATTTAGATACTTTATGATGAGGAGTATCCATCCAAATCACCCCCATGTATGTTCTACAATTTTGCGTACTTTTCGAGTTATAATTTTTTTAAAGTTTTTTTCGCAATTTTCACCTAACATCGGTTTTCGATTTTTTCCTCATTCTGTTGGACGTTTCTGGTTCAGTTTTTTTGTAATAACTAACTAACATAGTCTAACCTATCATCCTAAAACTTATGGTTTATCTAGGCATTGCAGAATTCACTTAGAATTTGTTCGAAAGTTCAAAATTACGATTTGAGCTCAGTACACACAAATTTTCAAAGTATCAAAAAAAATGTAAATGGGGGGATTTGGAGTTCAAAGTGCTTTTAGAAACTTTCTGAAACATTAAAATTTAAAACAAGGTCAAATAAAGATAGGGTTAATGGGGGTTTATTTTCTGTAATTGACCTTCAAAGTAAATTAAGGCATTTTTCAAGGAAAAAAAATAATTATTTTCTTTTATTTAAATCTTTGCCTTTCTCTCAGTTATGATGGATTTGAGTAAAACGCAGTTAATTGTTAACAAAATACATTTATTTAAAGCAAATTTTCAAAATTTCGCCCTCCCACAGAAATACACAATCTACATCTGCGCAAAAAATATGTTTTAGGTGCCTAAAAGCTTCACGGTTATTTTTCACAGTGGTTTCAGCTTCGCGAATTTTTGCTCTCAGTTCTTCTTCACTCGAAGCTTCTCTGGCGTACGCAATTTCTTTAAAGTAGCCCCAGATAAAAAAAAACAATAGGGTTGAGGTCAGGCGAGCGTGGTGGCCAGGCAATTGTCCCTCGTCGTCCGATCCACCTGTTGGGGTAGGTCTGGTCTAAATGGCGACACATACAAAAGTTTTTTAGAAGACAATCTACCCATATTACTGGAAGATGTAAATCTTAAATTAAGAAGAACGATGGTGTTCCAGAACGACGGGGCGCCATGTCTTTACGCGACACAAGTGCGTCGCCATTTAGACCAGACCTACCCCAACAGGTGGATCGGACGACGAGGGCCAATAGGGAAGATGCATATATAATATTTATGAAAATTTTATGATTAAAATGTTAAAAAAATATAAAAGAAATGCCACTGCAACGTTTTTATTTTACACAATGTTGTTTTTTAACAATTATTACGAATTAAAAATACTTGAAACGGAACGTATTTTAAAACACGAATCAGCGTTTAGTGACGTCACTCCTGTTATGACAACTTCTTTGAGGTTATGGTTGTTAAAGTAAATATTATTTTATGGGAATATTTATTGTGTTTTTTTACATTTAATAAAAATGGAAGTTGCGTTTATCAAAGCAGACTCCAGGAATTTACCAAGAGTTAGCGTTGACATGGTTATAACTTTTTTTGTCCAAAGTGCAGAGTTTTTAAGTGTAGAAATGAAAGGGACTAAATTACTACGGTATGTAAAAATCGTAGTTGTTAAACTACGTATTTTATTCAGCATCTTAGTGTTGGGTAGGACACGACTTGAAAAAGAGTTTGTAAGAGTAGCCTCTTTTTTGTACTGAGCCAGTACAATGTCCCACTTCAAATGAGGCGAGGCGTACTGAAACTCGGCATTACGTTTGTGTGCACGAGTAGCACCTCCTCTACGCACTATCAATCTTGCTGGATCCAGCATGCAGGACAGCGCTATACACGTAAAAGAGATAGAGATACAGATAATTAGTGCGTAGAGGACTTAAATGAAATGTCATGCCTCGCTCTCTCTCTCTCAGACTTACGAAGAGTGAGTGGGTAACGAGACGCGACTATCGCGACATTTAATGTGAAGTAGTACATTTTAAAATTTTGAGCCGCTCTTACATTTTGACGTCATGTCCGGGACAAATGTACCGCCTCTTGTAAGTCCTACTCAACACTACAGCGGCTTCTACAAATCTTACGGCGATAATGCAATCGGCTATGTCCAAATTAAAAAAGATGGAAAATTATGTACAGTAAAAAGTCGAGTTCTCCGGAGCATAAAGTACGTAAAGAAGGTTATCGTGTTACAGTTATTTTAAATGAAACGCAAAGCTTGGTTCAGTCCTGCCAATGTGAAGATTGTGCTACACATTTTAAACTTTATCTAATTTTCGACGTCATTCTCCAACTGTAAAATTAAAAATATGTTATAGACAGGTTTTGTAAGTATTAGGTAGGTTACTAATGCGTTTTTACGTACAAGCAGATTAATTAAGCATATAACAAGTATATTCGCCGACATACGTCAAAGTGATCTTCTCAGCATCGAATAATGGTCTTTGGAGAATAATTGTCATTTCTCTTCGCAGCTTGAAACCACTTTTTTTTCAGTTTTGGGTCAGAAGTTCCAGTCAAAAATAATTTATTTGGGAACTTTGTTGAAGTAGATTGGCACAAAACATGAGTCAACGCGGCTTTTTTTCGGAATATTAGTGGTATTGTTATGATCACATGATGTTGATGGATAGTCCATTTTAAATTTTTCAAAAAAATATTTCGAAAGTCGAAAAAATATGCAAAAGTATGAAA